GCCTCTTCCCCCTCTCACATATCTACCTTCTCCTCCTACTCCTCTGCCTCACGCCTCTCCCTCTTCCTCCGGTCTGTCTCCTGCTTCCGCTGACGGCAAGGCGAGCACGTGCTACGCTTGTGGGGAGGGTTGTACTTATAATTGAAGAACAACCTGTTCTCCTGAGCCTTACCACACCCGGAGCATCGGGTCTTGCCCGGTTCCTGCGGCATCTGCGAGACCTTGCTTGGGCGGCGTGGGCTTGTGTCCTGAGCAGGAGCCACGGGACGACCCTCCTCACGGCAACGATGGCATTTACGCCGGTGAAGGGCCTTCGTGTCAAAGTCCTCGATGGGACGTTCTTCTTGACACGCCGTGCACAGCTGCGTGTTCCGGTGAAGGCCAGTAGAGCCACCCTTCTTCTTCTGCTTGTTGTCAGCTGCTGTGTTGGTGAGGTGAAGGGTGGCGAAACTTACATGGTACGGCCGCTTGGTTGCGCGGCAATGCTCGCACGTGGCAGCGAATTTCCCTCCCACGAGGAGGTAATGTCGCTTTGATAACCACTTGCGACAGGACGAGCATCTTTTAAGCTCTGGGACATCTGAGCTGGCAGTGTTTGGAGACGGAGTCTCAAGCAAAGACTCACTCCCAGTACGTGGAGACGGAGTCTCAGACACAGGCTCTCTTCCATAGACTTCCATTTGAGGAGAGATCCGGGGATCACTGAGAGCCGGGGAAGGCAGTCCATTGTACCAGAAAGGCATTTCTGGGAGGGGCTGATCGGTCAACCCAAAGCTCGGGCCCTTGAACATGGGCTCCGAGGCTCCCACAGCCATGGGCGGCTGGACGGCAATGTACCGTACCTTGATTATTGCCTCAGCCATGGTCCAGCCTTCTATGGCATGGAGAGCAAATGCTATTCAGCGAAAAACACATACGTTAGCTTGGAACCTTGATGGGGGGTGGGGATTCTAGTCTTACCAGCGCAGTCCAAGCATAGTTTATTACGGGGAGGCCCTGATTGAAGATGCTCCATGCAATAAAAGTTGGCTACAGGGACGAACGGCCGCAAAGAACTTCCAGCAGATCCTGGGAGAGCATGTCCTTGTGCCTCCATGGCTACTGATGTGCTGACACAAATTGCTCAAGTTAGACATGTACATGTTATGGGATGGGCCTTGGACTCACCTTGAAAGTCTCAAGAATGTGGTGCGTGGAGTGTCGTGTGGAGGTGGTGTAGAGATTTGGATGACTGACTCTTAGAGACAAGGTCACGTCTTAAAATGGGTAGTGAGACAAGCCTTTACAGTTGAATAATGTCTGGAATAAGAGTAGTGATGAGGTTGATGTGTGGGATGAAGACAAGAAGACAAACGAAGGGAGGTGACAGGAGACATTTATAGGCGATGGAGAGCCAGGAACTGATCGCAACAAGTGCCTTTCCACACGTCAAACTTTTCATTGAAAGATAAAGAGTGACTCAAATATGTAAGTTTGGGAGACTTCAGATCTAAGAAGCCACGGCCACTGTGGCCAAAACCATATGTTCTTTTAGCCGAGTTCCGCTTGATGTGTCAAGAAGATACCGAAGCACGAAGGTTCAATATCTCATCCCGAAATCTTCCCCTACACGCCCCCAATTCTTCACTTGAGTTTAACAATGACTCAACTTTCAGTTCAGCGGCGCTCAGCTGCGGAGAGGCACCGGGATACGGTGCAATGTGTGTGTTCTTGAAGCAAACTTGCAGTTCTGGTTCATCATATAGCCCTAGAACGAATTCTAGAGAGTTCTAGCGCTCACAGTGAGGCAACATGGGGTGCAACGTAGTCATAACATGCTTAATTTGGGAAAATACTCTGGGAATTGTTGCAGATGGTGAACCGCGGTTTGCCTACATTCTACGGCTTAGTATAAAGGTCTGACTTATTCTCTGCAAAGCTTTTTCAGGACTATGAAATTTGGAATTCGCTTTAGGTATTTGTACCAGCAGGTTAAGTTCATGAAGAGGGGGTGGGAAGCCATACTCCATCTCTAACTTGCGGAGAATCAGAAGGGTTTGAGATCGGAGTGTGAATCGCCCCGCCCGCACCCCCCTTTCCCCTTTTTCTCATTCCGTTCCCCCTTCCGGTCGCAATTGAGCTGATGCAATGCCTCATGCATCTCATGTGTCATCCAAAGTTTCTTTGCGAACCAAAATGTAAGTATGAATGCTCAGCATGGGTGTGTCTGCATGTGTCTGTGTATTGCCTTGATCTCTTTAGTGAACCTACACCAGGGGGTGTCATCTTGGGTGTCTCTTCAAGGGCGAATCGAATTCTGGACTCTCTAGCATATAGGCAGCAGCTCAAGGGAGAAAAACTTATCGTGCATATCTCGGACTCGCCGTGGACAGGGTAACGAGTATCACAATGAATGGCGTGGTAGCCTGGACGGGTACGGTATATTCAGGAGACTGCTAGATATGAGGCTTGTTCTCCGCTCTCCAACAATATTTCGTCCCAGATACTATTTTCATAGCATCCAAAATCCGCTGAGATTTCTTTGAATATCAATTGACAAACGAGCAATGTCCATGAGCAACGCAACTCTTCCGAAAAGAAAATACAGCGACAGTCACTCAGCTGATTGTCTTAAGGTGGGAATTTTTCCTCCTTCGTCTTTCTCTTGCACGTAAGTCTGGTATTGGCCTCTACTGCCTTGAAAAATTGAATTGGCTGAGTCCAAGGCAACAGAATTGTTGGGGGATGGCGTGCCCATCACCCCATGGGGTAGTGGTCACTCTTCGGTCACTTTCCATTTTGAAAAGTAGAAGGTACGTAGATACGCCCGATCCACACGGACGTCCTCTCTTGTCACTTTGGTAACTATGTCAGAGTTTGGGTGAGATGCTTAATGCGTGTCGAAAGACTGCGCCGTCAGTGTAGGGATGGCATGGATGCCCGGTGCCTTGCATTCACTCTTTGATTCTCCCGTGGCAATGATTTGTTTTGCGAGTTTTTCGGCCGTCATACCATCAGGCACGGGACTAGACGCGTACACTCAGAAACCGGGAGAAAACCAGATCCTGTAATAAACTTACAGAGCGAGTCAGTGCGGCTCCCTCCGACCTTCGCTGACCTTCGACTTGAGGTCAAAACAAACTTTGCGGTCATAATCAGCGTAACATCCCCCACAAAAGCCCATGGGGACTGGCAACACCACTGCCAGGGCGGAACTCAATTCTAACGCACAGACATCCACCCCCAGACGGTCAGGAGTTCCCCAGGATGACTGCCGATAGCTGCGCAAGGACAACAGAGACACTCCCCGGCTACGCCCCCTTGGGCAGGTTCACAAGAGAGTTTGCCATAGCCTCATGAGCACAATTGAGTTGGTTTGTTATTTTCAGCCCCATTTCACTCAGAACCTTCGTCAAGCTTTCTCAGGGGCAATGCCTGGACTTGTCATAGTTGCCACTCATGTCCTTGCTAACAGATGGCGTACTCAATGGAAGTCGTCGTCCAAGGATCTTCCATCTTCTCGGTCCCTCAAGAATACAGAAAGCTGTCAAAAATTCGTGTCAGAATTTTTAGAAGAAAGACGAAACAAGGGTCATTGGTGTTCGTTGTTCTATGTTGACAAGCATCTCTGCTCCCCGTGGAGGGAAGGATGAAAACAACAAGGAAGCTGGTGGCAAGACAGAGAGTTCGTCCTATTCCCCTAGATCCGTCTAACAGTTTGATTCTTGAAAGCCAAACTACATACTCCCGGCAATGACACATAGGTACCATTGGAACTTGAAAACATGTGACGACATTTCGCCTTCGACTACGCCCACCTGAAGTGTAGGAGATGAGCTTCGCCCAAAAGTAAATTTTTAACAATAGAAAGCAATAGAATGAGAAAATGAAGAGATTTTTCCCAGTTGTTGATTGCGAAGGCTACTTAAACCCCTGTTTCCCCCCTAGTCCTGTCTCTTTTCGATCATCCAACTCATCGTTACCATCTGTGTCCTTGTTTATCTGGGACTGTCAATCAAGTCTTCTTCAAGTGTTTCTTCTCTCTAGTGACTAAAGGATTAGCCTTCGTCATTAAGACCATAAGAGCCCATCATCCAGAGCCCTACCCAACTCACACACACTCCCAAAGAAACATAATAGTTCCTTGGAATTATCAAGTAATTCCCCCCCCTTCGCCGTCACCTAAAATTTGCCTACGCTTCTAATGAATACCCTTTCAAGCAATGGATCATTACGGCAGACACTCACAGCGAGCCACCCGCCAAGCTCAAGCTGGGTGGTATCATGATAACGGTGGAGTGACTTCATCCCATCACTCCCACCCAAACTTTCAAGTCCAACAAAGCGGCTTCAATCAAACAAACATGGCCACCCAACCTTCCGTGGTTTGGGATGGACATAACTACCCCCAGCCCGCCATGATGCACAGCGCTTTTTTCTCACAAACCATTATGCCCATGGTCCAGCCCAATAGTTTCCTCCCAAGTGAAACTTTGCCCCAAAATAACATGGCGTTACCTACACCTTGCCTTCGAAGCGCCTTTGATCCTTGCCTCCCCCATTTTCCAGACACTGACATCCTCGTGTCCCGACCACCTCCCAAAGACCACTTCTCTCAGCAACTTCCTGGCCCCTCTCTAGGTCACCTCCCATCTTCTCCAGAGGAATCTTCGGAGTGGTCAGTTGGCTCTCAAGAATCCTTTTCCTCTCCCCCAAGCACGCCTCCCGATCTTTCTCCTCCTTCATTCTGGGACAATCTAGATCCCTGGGACAGCAATGCCATCGGGTATCAATATGTCATTCTCCCAGAACGGGATGTGGGCTGGGGCCAATTGTTTTGTGGCTCAGGTGAGGAACTAGGTGCCAACGTGACCTCTTCTAGTGAGGTTAGCAACCCGTGCCCTGTCGCCGCCGCCGCTCCTGCTGTCGGGTCTGATTCCCGGCAGGCATTTCGTTGTTCGTGCTGTCGTAAGCACCAGCCGGCAATGAGGTTCTCTCGAGATGGCAGCATCCCAACCGAGCAGACTCGCCATAAGGTATGCGGCAGGTGCCGGTCATGAAGGAGGCCCTACCATGTAAGTCTTATTCCAAACCCCCTCTTCAAAGACAATGCAACTAACATGGTGTTCCAGGAACCAAAGGGGGATCAGAGCAGCGATGGGTCCCAGGCCGAAAAGCCCTGCATTATTTGCAGAGCTCAGCGGCCGGTTGAAGGCTTTCCATCGGTAGGGGCTAGACCTTCGCGGAGATGCTCCCGCTGTATCGAGGAAGGTCGACAGCCGGAGGAGCGCCCCCTCAAGCGGCCCAGGTCGGGTTCCAAGGAGAGCACGCCTTCTTCCTCGCGTGCGTCTCCAACGCAAGCCAGTCAGCCTGGCCACGCATACTGTTCCGGCTGCAGCAAGACCCAAGCGGTCGACCGGTTCGCGGACCCGCGTCGGGAGGGTCGCTTGTTGCGAACTTGCCTTCAGTGTCGTACGCGGAAGAATACGGCAGATAGAAAGAAGAGGGAGAAAAGGTTGGAGAAGAATTAATTTGAGCAGAGCTGCGATTTCTTTTTGTATTATTATTGGTGGATGGGGATTTATTGTTGGTTTTCTAGTTATTGTTGTTAAATGCAAATTGTTATTGAACGAATATTGCAATTCATGGTTTCTTCTTATCGCCATACAAAGTAGCCAAGATTAAGTCTCGAATACTGCTGCTGTTCCTTGGTTGGATCTCATTATTCTGCTTGTATCTTGCTAGATTTTCTTTCAAATCACGATAACAATTACAACATTTACGAGCCGTAAAAGAATTTCTACCATAGTGTCTCCCTGCATTGTCTTTTCGACTGTCTGTGGTTGCTTCTTTTGCATTTGTTCTACCGTCGCGTTAGGCATCACACAGAGAACAGTAGATGTAATTTTATATCAATCCTACAAAAGTCCCAAGATACATACACAGGCACTACAGAGTCGCTGATCCATCCATATCTGGAAATCTGTGGTCAGCAGGCAGCCTGGTAAGGCAGATTGTTTGATCACGTGCAGGATGCCACAAAGCCGCAGCGAGCTGCCTCCGCCTCAATCCCATTTCTCTCATCTTGTCACTGAATGTTGAGGTATAAAGACACAATCATCGTGAGACGCGACGATAAATTCTTGAACCCGAGCTTTCCCAGGGCTTGTCTGACGATCCACGTTGCCTGGCACCTCGCCTCGAGTGACACCATGCGGCTCCTCAAATGGAATCACGGAGATGTCTGTCTGGTTGACGCCCCAGAAGAGATCCCCCCATATGCGATACTATCACACACGTGGGGCCCAAAGAACACAGAAGTCACTTTTGAAGATGTGATTAGTAAAACCGGCAAGAACAAAGTCGGGTATGAGAAGATTCGGTTCTGTGGGCAGCAAGCGCAGCGAGATGGCCTGGAATATTTCTGGATAGATACCTGCTGTATCGACAAATCCAGCAGCGCCGAGCTTAGTGAATCCCTCAACTCCATGTTTAAGTGGTATCAGGAGTCGGAGACTTGTTACGTTTATCTTTCTGATGTCTCCGAGAATCAGAGTCGGCCAGGCTGGGAACTTTCGTTCCGCAAGTGCAAATGGTTCACTCGAGGCTGGACACTTCAGGAGCTTCTTGCCCCTGCAAAGATTAAATTTTTCTCTCGAAAGGCCGAATATCTCGGCGACAAGCAGTCTCTTGGACAGCTGATCCACGATATCACCAAGATCCCTATCGAAGCTCTCCATGGTAGCTGCCCCCTATCGAAGTTTGCGACAAAGGATCGATGTGCCTGGATGAACGGCCGGGACACTACACGACCCGAGGATCAAGCCTACGCCTTACTGGGGATTGTTGACGCGTATTTGCCGTTAATGTACGGCTATGGAAAAGACAAGGCGATGCTCGAGCTTCACGAAGCTATATATGTGCGCAAAAAACAAAACATCTCAATGGTCCAGGTAGACGAGTACCTGAATAGCCATCATTATAGCGACGATAGGCTTCGCATTCAGAGATTATCTGGCGAGAACCTAGATATGGCTAAATGCTACATAAACTTAGCTGTAGTCAGACACATGCCACTGAACAATACAGCACCTAGCAACGAAGAAGCTTCACCTTTCAATATGTTCAGACGACTCGGAGTGGATGACAGAGACACAAATGAACGTGTAGATTTGGCCACAATGTTCGACTCACGTCGCACTTCTCAAGGTCTCATGAAATCGCCGCGAAGAATTTTCATCAGGGGGCGCGCCGGTGTTGGAAAGACCACGCTTTGTAAGAAGATTGTTTTTGAATTCGAGCGCCGAAACATGTGGAGCGATCTTTTTGACAGGGTGCTATGGGTACCATTGCGGACACTCAAGACTTTGTCACGCGATAGCCTCACGCTGGCGGATTTCTTTCACTACCACTTCTTTCGAGATGATCAATGTTTTGGCCGTATTTTGGCTGAACGCCTCGGAGCGGAGGTCCAAACTAGGCCGGGAATGGGTACTGGAAGCAGGACCTTGCTTATTCTTGATGGCCTCGACGAAGTAACTGAGACATGGAACATTGATGAACCTATGCATGACTTGCTGGCTAAGCTGCTCAACCAGCCAAATGTCATTATTACATCTAGGCCTCATGCTCAACTGTCCCTCGACGTTGAGAATCCTATTGACCTCGAACTCGAGACTGTAGGATTTCAACCTAAACAAGTTGATGAATATCTGGAAATGGCTCTACCAGCCCCAAAGGATGCAAAAGAGATACAAAATTTTCTGAAGAGATTCGCGATTGTTCAAGGCCTTGCTCGAATCCCAATCCTTCTCGATGCCTTATGCTATATTTGGAGTGACAACGCGGGCAATAACCCTATATTGCAAAGTATGACAAATTTCTACAAATACGTCCAACAACAATTGATGATCAAGGATAGCGTCCGTCTAGGGAAACGAAAAGTATCTGTTGCAAATAATATGGGGTCTTTGCAGCTAGAGGACTGCTTTAAAGATGAGGTAGAACTGCTTGAAAAGCTTGCATTTACTGGCATGGTGAACGACATGGTCGAGTTCGAGCCGAAGACACGCCATTTTTGCCTTAGGGCCTTTAAAAACGAGAATGACAGGGTCTTGCCTGATCAATCCATCCGACATCTCTCATTTTTGCGGACATCAGATCCACATAAGAAGGGTGCAGATGTCAACTACCACTTCCTGCACCTCACTTTCCAAGAATTCTTCGCTGCAAGCTATTTCGTGCGCCAGTGGATATCAAATTCGGAAAATTTCGTCTGCTACTTGGACCTAAAACACGGCGAAGGCAAGAAACAGGAGACAATATCGAGTTTCCTTGCTCAACACAAGTATAACCCAAGATATGACATCTTCTGGCGCTTTGTTGCCGGGTTGCTAGATGACGAACAGAACGGTGATGAGATAGCAAAATTTTTCCAGGCGATAGAAGAATACCAGTCCCGGGATCTATTAGGCCCAGCGCATCAACGACTCGTTATGCGCTGTCTGGCCGAGGTCTCCAAAGACTTAGCGTCGAGACGGGACCTGGAAAGAAGATTGAAAGCATGGCTCCTTTTCGAGATTGAATGTACTCCTCACAGACCCTTGTCTAGGGCAATGGAGCTCCCAGATCATGTGCTTCTTGATATCCTCCGGCAATGGAAATCGCAGGAGGACCCGTCACTCCTTTCAGCCCTTGGTTCAAGGGTGACCCTATCTAGTTCCATCCAGTGGGAACTCCTGGCCCAGCTAGAGCCAAAACATTTTCCAGTGCGAGAAATTGTTGTTCGTACACTGGGCAGACACATCAGCGATCCAGAAGTCCAGGAAGAGCTTTTAACACGTTTGGATGACAAAGACCCTGATATTCAATGCACTGCTATTGAAACTCTCGGCTACCAAGCGGGCAACACTGAAATTCAACGAGCACTTCTAGGTCGGCTTGATGATGAAGAGTCCATCGTTAGAGGTGCTGCCGCTATCGCGCTCAGCAGCCACACGAGCGATCCTAGAGTGCGGCAGATACTTCTGCTCGCGTTAGCTGACGAAGGCTATGACGCTCGTGTGGCTGCTGCTAGCGCTCTAAGCAGCCTGGCTGGTGAGCCCGAGGTCCAACAGGCACTCCTCGCCCAGCTAGGTGACACAGACCCTATTAATCGGAGTATTGCTGTTGACGCGCTCAGAAGTGAGGCCGGTAAGCCTGAGGTCCAGAAAGCTCTCCTAGCTCGACTTTTTGATGACGAAGACCGTCTTGTTCGAATGGCTGCTGCTGGTGCTTTCAGGAGCCAGACCGGCGAGCCCGAAGTTCAACAGGCATTACTCACCCAACTAAGTGACAAAAATGCTGATGTGCGAAAATATGTTGCCGATGTGCTCGGCAATCAAGCTAGCGAGCCTAAGGTACGGGAAGCTCTCCTAGCTCTCCTGAGCGACGAAGACGGTAATGTGCGAACATATGTTGCCATTGCGCTCGGCAATCAAGCTAGCGAGCCTAAGGTACAGGAAGCTCTCCTAGCTCTCCTGAGCGACGAAGACGGTGATGTGCGAACATATGCTGCCGATGTGCTCCGCAATCAAGCTAGCGAGCCTAAGGTACAGGAAGCTCTCCTAGTGCGACTGAGCGACGAAGACGGTGATGTGCGGTCTTGCGCTGCTAATGCGCTTAGCAGCCAAGCCAGCGAACCCAAAGTCCAGCAAGCACTTATCGCTCGACTAAATGATGATGATGAGGGTGTCCAATTGAGAGCTGTTGAAACCCTCTTAAGATATCAAGACAAGCCTCTTCAAATGTTTAGCGCCGAAGAGAGGATGGTTATTGTTAGGAGTCTAATTAAACTGAGCTTTTCGCAAGCGTTCAGTTGGCAGGTTGGATCCGGTGTTTCTACCTTATATACACCATGGGGCTTGATTAAAACAAGCATTGCGGATACGAAATCGCTGTCCAAAATCATTGAATGTGGCCGGCCGACTGGGTATCCTGTTGATGTTTTACAGCACGCCCAACCTGGTCCAAGTTTATGGCTATCGAGCTTGCCATGGATGCGAAATCTGTTTTCTCGAAATGTGCCCACTTGAGGGAGGGAGACTAACCTATTTACTGCACTGCATTGATAAGAGTGATTTTCAAATACACTGTACAGTTGCGACAGTGAGGCTATTTCGTCTCATGTGGCCTCTATTGGATCTTCAATGGTCGGTATCTTGGCATGGTACCAGGTTTAGAACAGTCTGAATTCGCTCCCTGTAGTTAGGTATATCTAAATAGACTTTTCTTGACGTTAGCTATCAGCCCCATACCATGATCAGATAGCCGGTTGACGGGATCAAAAGCTTTCAGTAGCAGATGATATACTTGATTGACTTTGTTGGTGTCATTGACAGGCTATATAGTCAATTAGACACAGCAATCAGCGCGAGCGCGCTCCGTTTTTGCTGGTGTAGTAGAATTGGCTCTGACAGACTTATATGTTTATGCAGCTGTGGCCCTTGGACTACTCAACTTCTTTTACGACCTAAACCAAGCCATCATCCATCACTGCTCCCCGACTCACGGAAGAGAGCCCGAATATAAAGCTAAAAACAATAATAGAAGATGCAGACCCGACATTCTAACACAATGAATGATCCCTAACACAGGACATCTCAGATTGGGATTGTTTCTCTCTTTTTTCTCACCATATCTGTGTGGGACAAGATACCACAAGGCCATACGGACAGTAGCAAACTACTATCCTCCGTGATACTATAGATGCGACAAATTGGATTCATCGAACTGCAGCTTCATTTCTCGCCTGGTCAGGAGCGGACTCTCACTCGTAATGCGTGACCAGTTGTGGGCGTCTAGACATGCTTGGCGAGACGCCAGTACGCCAGGTCGGGCACGGTCAATTACAGAACGCTCGTAGGCATTGAGAGAATCTATTAAAGAATCACCACCAGCATCTCCATTTCTCAATTTGTGACCGACCGACGTGACAAAATCAAGCACGTCGACAATGGCATGGTTTGCACCCTCTCCTCGGTCTGCGAATCGTTAGAAGCCAGCCTACTCCTCTCTGCGTCTGGTTAGAGCTTACACATTGCCATGGCATGGAACGAATCGCCCATCAGCACAGCGCGCCCATTTGTGCGAAGTTCGTGAGGCGGAGGAAAATCTCGCAGTTCAAGAGATTTAATCTCTTGATCAGCAGCCACCTCCTTGGCGATAGTGAGAAATGGCTCTCCCCATGTAGATGAAATGCGCTGAAAAAGCTGGACACGTTCCGCATTTGAACTTGGTATATCGATGGGGTGTTCACTGTCGAGGAACCCATTGCGGTAAGGCCACGAGACGCACATCTGGTAGACGTATTTTCCGGTCAGATCGCCCTTGGTTTGAGGCGCATCAAGCACTATTCACATTTAGTATTAATTTGAAGTCCTCAAGCTAAGAGGTGATCAAACGAACAACTAATGTAGATAAAGGAGTCGTTCTCAGAGCTTGTTCCTTGCAAGAAAAAAGGGTCGAGATTTCGTATCAGTTGGGCCTTTTCGTGGCCAAGCTGCAGTTTCATTCCCATGAGACAAGCTGGTATACGATGCATTTCACTCTGGATTGGAGATAGCTGCCGTCGTGCTCGAGAGTTGGCCCCGTCGCAAGCGACAAGCAAGCGGCCCGTGGCAATAGATCCATCCTCAAATGTAGCCGTCACTAAATCCCGATCTTGATCAAACTTGGAAGATGACTTTCCCCACTGTTGATCACACAGTCAGAGGAGCTGAGGCTCGAGTATCCGGCTGTAGGAGAAAGGGAGGCATTTCTTAGCTCACCTCGATGTTGATGCCTGTGGCGAGGAGCGCCCTCAGCTTCTGACGAGTCACCCGGATGCGCTGGGATTGGGAAGCTTTGGGAGTTTGGAACTTGCGCTCGCCGGTGCTCAGATCAAAGAATGGGAAGGTCGAGATAGCGCCAGCCTGGACGGAGGCACGGTCGACATAGGTCTCGGGGAGCCTGAGGACCAGATCTTCCGGTAGGAGTGAGCGAAGGGCGGGGAGTGACCAATTGAGGGTCAGCCCCCAGCCTACTCCGCGGGTAGCTAAGTCATCATCCCGCTCAAAGATTCGAAAATATATCTTCTCCTTGCGTAAGTACTGCGCTAGGACAAGGCCGCTGATGCCGGCGCCTATGATGAGTATGGGTTTGTTCTCCATGATGGTCGCTGACTTGTCTGAGCAAAGGCAGACGAACCAAATCTTGGAGCCACGGGGGAATGGCACATGGACTGATGTATACAGTATCAATGTCTCGCTCTAATTTAAAGACGTAAGTTTGGAGGGGCTGGAATGCAGCGATACGAGGCAACTGGCTCAATCTCGCGTACCGTTGGCCCACCCTTTAGCACGCTTACTTGAAAAAAAAAGCGAAAAATTGGGAAAGAAAATGAACAGCGGGTACGGACCTCTGCTTATATTACTAACTGACATTCCAACAAATGGTGGCATTACTTATGGAACTTTGATGGCAACAGGAGACACCTTGGATCAAGGCTTGTTGAAACCCGATAACCAACAAGTCGGAGCTGACACAGTTAATACTTTAGCGCGGGAAAATGATGACAGTACGGGCCGGTCTACGGCCCGAGTTTAGCGATCGATCTGCTGGGATATGAAATGACTGGTGGGGAATATTAAAGGCCTTGGCCATGGGATGCTGGTCTTGATAAACCATCACCAAGCACTTACATCAGATGAGAGAGAACATAGCCGACTAAAAATTTTATACAATCGACTCTCGTAAGTCATATCATTTGAGCTTACGATAGTAAAAAACTAGATCAGTAGTCAAGGATTAAGAGATCATAGATGGTTTTTATCGAGCAGTATCACGATTCAAATCTCAATTACTGCTCATAACTTCTCTTTGAACGAATCTTATTTCTCTCCACAGACTATCCACTAGCGACTACGGTTATAAATCTCTATCCCGCATCCATGTTCAAGTATTCATTGTGTTTGTTCGGCATAGCAATATAGATCTCTAATGTTGTGAGTGACGTGGAGATCGTTGTGAGATTGTATGGCTATAGGGTAGGCGTCAGGACTGGTGTTCAAGTAAGTAGATATATCGGAACTGCTTATTTTCCCTGTCCGTCATTGTTGACCAAGCTTCCGGTGAGAGGAAGTCGCTTTCTCTACGCCCGGCTCGGCTCCCACGCCTCTTGTTCTGCCACGTATAATAGAGAAAGAGGGCAAACGTCGTAGCCGCACACCCGGGCTACGTGCCCATCACAGCCAGTTTCGCTGGATGGAAGTCCGGCGCATCGCGAGACTGGAACGTCTGCGGCCCTATAATGTTGCCGAGTGAAAAGCTACCACTTACGATGGCGGCAGCAAACGCGCGCTTGGTGGCACTGCCGAAGTTGGCAGCAGTCTACTAAAGAGACAATGAATGGTTAGCGATCCATGCAAGGTTGATCGTAATGTAGAGGGTGGTATTGGGAATAAGGTACAGCATACATTGTGGAATATCGCCAGAGGTGCTATGACGGCGTTGACGAGATAAAGACCGGCGAGGATTCCGTTTCGATTGGGAACCGGCAAAAAGGATATCAGAGCGCCACCGATTATACTAAAGAATGGCATATTAGCTCATAGGAAAGAATAGAGACACTCTCCATAGAATGGGGACATACGCAGGGATGAGACATCCAATGATCCACGCCCAACGATGAGACTGCTTCTGCACGCCAAATCCAACAAGAAGAGTGAAGAGTATGCTGACAGCCCTAGAGGGCATGTTAATTAATGCGGCATGCTTTGAATCATAGCCCAAGTTGGCGATTAGGGTGGCCGAGTACGTGGTAACAACGCCACTAGAAACAGACAGCTGCCGAGGAAGATGATTAGACGGAAACCTAGCCGACGTTCGAAAAGAATTACGAACCAGAACAACCGAAAGCAGCATGAGATACAACTGCGGATCGCACAGTGCCTCAAGAATTTCCTTGAGCCGGAACTTTCTGCTTTGTATCCCTGTCTGATTAATGCTTACGTGCTTTAGTAGTGCGACTTTGTCAGCGTCCGATAGCCAAGTGGCCTGCCTAGGTGTGTCAGGGATGAGCAGGGCAGTAGAGAGACCAATTATGATAGTGAAGTAGCCCAAGGTGACGAACATGATACGCCAGTCCCCTAGACTTGCTTGTCCTGGCGCGATGTGTTGGAAGCCATAAGAGATGGCACCGCCAAGAATCTGACCAATACCCAGACCCGTGTACCAGAAAGAAAACCGGGCAGCCTGCTCTGACTTGGTGTACCATTGGTTGCTGATAAGCATGACAGAGGGAGCGATGGTGGCCTCGAATATTCCTAAGGAGACACGAGTGACAAGGAGGGTTCGGTAGTTGTGGGCGGCAGCACCACAGTCCCTTGCAGCTTTAGCTCAGACTCCCACTTTTGTAACTGATTGTTGACTAATTTGCATGCCAGAAACTAGGTATGGTCGGGGATTACCACTTTCACTGAGACCCGAAGAAGATCTTGCCCTATACACGCGTGTCAACTACGCCGGTCGACCGATCTACCAGCTCGGAATCTGCTTCTTCAAAGTTGCCCTTCTCCTAAGTTACTTGCGGCTGCTTAATGGTACCCATTATAGAGCATATCGGGTAATTATATGGCTTGCGATCTCCCTGATCTTCTTGTCGCATCTTGGTTGCACACTTGCGATTATCTTCTCTTGTACGCCTGTAAGTCTATTGACACGACTAGCTGGATATCGGGTTTTGATTTACAATGATCCGATAGGTGAGCCGGTCATGGGACCCATACGTGAAGGGCTCGTGCTTAACTTCTGGCCCCTCGTTCACTGGATATGCGGTGGTGACCATTGTGTCAGACATCATAGTTGCCATTCTACTCCTCTCAATGCTCCTTGAGCTTGATGTTAGGCTGGGCAAGAAAATTGCTCTCGTTGCCATTTTCACCCTAGGGATCTTCACGACGGTATGCTCTATCATGCGGTATCTCCAGATCAACCGGATTCAGTACGGGGACGGGGATTCCACCATGTTAGTTCTTTGGGGAACAATTGAGTTCAGCATTGGGGTAAGTCTGTACTAACAGCCATAAACTACAATCCCCTGATCCTAACTGAGACAGAACATTGCTTCCTCGCTGCCATTTCTAGCACCTATTTTTCTTCGTCGGGCCAAAAAATATCGATCCAAACCGTCAATAAATTACATTACTCCTAGTAGTAGGACCAGGAGCCGAACTGATCGATTGGGGTCAAGGATTTCGATGAAAATGTTAGGTCAGAGCATAGTTAAGGAGAATGATGGTCGTTCATCCCAGGAAGTCAGGAGAATATCCTGAGCAACGAAGGAAATATTGTCAAATTTGTCAGGTATAGCGTCATGGTAGATGAGACATCCGCGGTGGGATCGAGTAATGACAGACTCCCACGCTAGATTCCTCTTATGGCGGTGGCATAGTGTATCTTTAATTGTATTATACATAAGGCTTCAACATGAGCCACTAGAGAGAGATATAGTCACTCTTTGGTATCCCGACTGGTGCCAAGATACTGTTCAACTTCATGTTGGCATTCATATTCTCAAACGAGTTTCCCAATGCTAAGATCTTTAAGGAATTTAAGGATCCTGACCTTCGGTATGCCTCGGATGTCTGCTTAGATCTACATATCAGTTCAAGTAGCCAAGGAAATCAGGTCTAAAGAGACTCGTATGTCTTGGCTAATTACTTAAGAGAACAGAACATACAACTGATTATGGGAGCCTATGGTAGCGTAGCCGATGTGTCTGCCCCTCATCAATAGATCAACACAATGAATTTTTGTTTCAGTTGGTTCTCCTTCATGCTGCTATGTGGCTAAGGTTGCCATGCCCTCCGGCCAACTCCACACCTAATGCGTAGTACTGGCTTAAAGGAGCCTTCGTGATGAGTGCCACCAAAACCCGCGATGACAACTCTATGATTCTCCATGCATGAAAAGTCCACGCATTTAGGGGCTGCACACCCAATAAAACATTATATCTGATACCCAGGATTTACTTGCCTCGGCGATGCAGTAAACAACTGATGTAGTGCTACCTTTCTAAGGTTGACTGTCTGGTGACAATGCTCCTGCGAGTTGATTGATGGTGTGCTGGGTCAAATCCTCCACTGAAAGCAGGTTTATCACATACAGGATCCATATGTCATATGTCATGTCAAGGCACGGCATTTAACCTGTAGTATTGTAAATTCATAAGGATGAAACATACGAGAATACGGGGGGGCTGAGTGGTTCACGAAGTCCGAATATGCCTTTCTGCACATGCAGGGGGGCAAGGCGACGCAGGGGAGGCGATGGTAGTTTACGCCGCTCAATGGAGGATGCATTTTGCCGAAGGGATTCTGGGCACAATCGAGATTTACCGCACAGAATCCCCAATCACATTTTCTACGACATGAATCATTGGACTGAGGGGGCGAAATGGGCATTCTGAAGTGCCACTAGATGATGTGTAGTGGTATGTCTTTAAACGAGCATTTAGGCGTAGCTCCATGTGATGTTATTTTGGTGAAGCAACAATGGTTGATTGACGTTCATTATAGATTCTGCGCGACATATAGATGGCGAGATAATAAACGAGCCATGTTCGTCGAAAAGACGGGCATTGCCAATTGAAGAATATATATGCCCAAAGTTAGAGAGCCAGCCACCGCTTTGGTCGTTCTTGATGCGGCAGCTCAAGATGGACAGCCGCGTGCAAAACATCCCACAGATCAGATATTGGTAATCAGGCGGAGGAAGCACGGGTCAGGGGATGGGAGCGGCATAGCAAGCAGAGGCACACAAGCCATTGAAAGCCGACGTAGCATTCCGTCCCAGATAGTGGTTCAGATTCCACAGTGGCAACGTGGACAACCGAAAAGGGTTGCAGAGGGATTATCTGTCCGTGCCGTTCCTTTTCCGACTCCTAAAAACTTGGCCCCGAGGCGTAGTGGGCGGCATTGTTGTCAGTGGCGGCAGACTTCTCACGGACGATCGATTGCATATGGACATTGGGGGCCTGATCGCCTTACTGCTTCCCACGGGAGGCCGTGCTGATGCCGACCCTCGATCCCTCGGGACAGTCTTGCGTGTATGCAGTCCTAGTACAGAAAGCCCGAAAGCACATCTAAATACGAGGCGAGGAGGACGCTTTTTTGCCGTGCCGCTTCTTGGAGGATCGAGCACAACACGTTGACTGCACGAGTCCAAATGGGTCAATCGGACTTAGGATCCTCCATTTTCTGCCAGCCAAGACTAAAAGAGCTTGCATATCTACATATCAAAAGTCCGTGCTCCCTGCCGTGGTCCATGGCATGGCCTAGGCGCCGCGTGGGAATCAGGGGAAAACAGGGTTAGAACCATGGCATGGCAGCAGCGGGAAAGGAATCGATCATGTCATAGCGCGAAGCTTGGGCCTGGAAATCGTTCAGATGCTTTCGAGGACAAGGGGGCGAGGGAGCGGTCGGGGGCTGCACGGGCATGATTGGATAGACTTGGGAGAAGGGACGAAAACGTGCCTGGCGAGGTAACCCACCATCCCAGAGGGCGCCTATTTTTGAACACCCTCCCAGTCAGAATGCTACAGTAGGTATCCTCTGTATGCAGGTGACTCGACTCTGGTTGGGGGTTGTGGGATGGTTTCAGGTGGCGAACCCCTGCGTCTTCCACTTTATCTCCGTCATGTCGTTTACCACGAGATGTATGAGCTCGCTCGTATGCGTGTTCATGTTTCGGCGTCGAGCCCACTGACGGTGACCTGTAAGCTCCCCTGTCAATACTTATCTAAGATATAATCCAGATTGGGAGACCTCGTCGTCGAAGAAAAGACTAAATATTTCCCGCGTCTCTGGGAAAATCTAGAGACGTAGACCTTTTCGCCATCCATTCGTTTCCTGGCGTTTGGTTCTCATTGGTTGCAAGACGCACAATGGCGGAAGAATCGTTGGGTTACGCTCTGCTTGGCTACCTCAATATTGGATTCATTGCCATTGCAATGGCTGGTAGCGCTCCTCTCGCCGTCCTCTTCTTCGTGAAATTACATCAGAGAGGCGCCAGGTCTCGTGCCCCTATCCCATGGATTAAAGGTGCCTCAGCAATCGTCACAATGTAAGATGATAGTTCTCTGATCTCTGCATATTTGAGAAATTGTATGATGTGTACTGATGCATTTACCTGACAGATGGTTCATCCTTTGGTTGATGGAAAGCTGCATGACACTGCAAGTCGGTCGGATCAGTGGGAAAGCAGCCGAAAATCTATTGACGATCCAAAGACAAGTCGAAGCTGCGAAGAATATGTTTGGGCCTCCTGCTTTGGCAACCACGCTGTACGCACATCTCGAGCTCGTCTTGGCCCTCGGCGAGCAATCCGGCTTCTTGAACCCTCGATTTCCACGCATAGGGGCAACTGTTATGCTGGTTGTAATCGGGATATTGAGCACCGTTCGATTTATAATATCCCAGTATAACAATATCTCCGTGGATATAAAGGGGCTCTTTGATCTTATGCTATCTATTCTGCTCTTCGGTTTCTGTCTGGGGTCCACGGGCTGTCTGTTGAGAACGAGCCACACCGAGCTTAATAAGGTATGTTTTGGGCCTATTTCCTTTGTATCCAAAATTACCTATTCGTTTTAACACTTTCTGCCAGATCTTCAATCTTCTAGCTACGGTATTGGGGCTTTCGTTATTCCGTCACGCCTTCGACATAGCCTACTTTGGCGTCACGACATATGTGAACCATGAAGATCCTGCTGTTTTGGATTTCTTAAGGCCACTTGTAGTCGGCTGGGGAGTCATCATCTGCCTAGGAATCTTCTTTCTCGTCGTGTCGAAACGAGGAACCAACCTGTGGGATCGCGCTTACAGGAAAACCGTAAAGAACAAGAGGAACTTTTACAAACAAGGCGAATATAACAAGAGCAAGTTCAGTCATAGCAATAAGAGCTTTCAGACTGGAAATACTAGCTCCAAGAGCTTGCCGACTCAACGAACCAGCAGGAGGATATACTGCAACAGTAATAAGAGTCTGCCGAGTCTGCCGAGTCTGTCTATACCTCCCATCCCGCCCCGTCGACCAAGGAGAAGTATCAGCAATAGGACCACGAAGAGCACATACCCACCAAGTCTGATCAATTGCTATCGCGAGGAAGGGCCTATTTATGTTCAGCCTAGCCCAAGACTCCCGCGCAGTGTACATTTACGGCCTGATGGCAGAGGGAATTGGATATGAATTAGTATGAATTAATGTTAAAAGTAATGAATGTAAATGACGTATCAACGGCCTAATCTGCAATTGCGAGTCACATATTGGAGTGAAAGCAGCTACATAGCTTCATGCCTTGTCCATTTCTTTCATGATCATAAAAACGGGTTGATTGATTTAATAATCCAATTATTTTCTCCATCAGATCCTGTTTATTGAACTTGGTTCAAATCCTTGAGCTCAAAAATATGTGCCTACTTCTTGATTGCAAACAAGAAACCGTCGTATTGCTTCTCTCCCACTGTTTGAATGACGGTGGCATCTAGACGCTCGTCCTTGCCAATTGTCTCAATCAGGTTTCGGGTAGCAGAAATACGCTCATCCTTGGCCGCCTCGTCAGGATAAGCAATCCTGCCCTGGCGGACGACGTTGTCAACAATGACGACAGTTCCCGAGCGGCTTGCGGGAAGAGCCAGATTCAAGTACGCGAGATTATTCTGCTTGTCAGCATCGATGAAGATGAAGTCGAACTCTGGCCGCTTCCCTGATTGCACCTCGGCGACAAGCTTGGGAAGAACGTCCAGACCTGCACCTTGCTTGATCTCGATCTGGTTCTGAAGGCCTGCTTCGGCGATGTTCTTGGAAGCCACATTGGCATTGTGCTCCTCGAGCTCGACTGTCGTCACCTTGACGTCCGGCCCCGCGCTGGCCATCCAGGCCGCACTGAAACCTCCGAGGGTCCCAAGCTCTAGGATGTTTTTGGCCTTCGCGATCTTGACCTGGATGGCGAGATATTTCGCCTGGGCGGCGGAGCATGCGATGTCAGGGAGACCTGCCGCAATTGATTTCTCACGGATATGTTCGAGGGCATTGTGGTACTTGTTGTTGGCTGGCGTCTGGAGGTGGGAATTGACGTAATCATCGACTGCATCGGGTCGGAGGTCTTGTTCTTTGGGGGTAACATAAGACCTAGGACCCTTGGAATCGGTGGTTGAAGCCATGTTGTGTTTACGCTTTGTTTGAGGGATGGAACAAGGTAGTGTTGGAAGTGTTGGTGAGGTACTTCAACCATGGGGATGCCTTCGTATAAATACGTAAAAGTACGAAGGAGAGAGCCAATAGTAATGATCTTCTGCTGGAGAGAGCATGCTAGATCAAGTATAGAGCACGTCTTCACTGGCCACGGTGACGACGACTCACTAATCACGGCTCCAGCTTGCCGAAGACGGTCCATTATTTCCCCATCTCCCCTCACTTTGCTCAGATTGATAAGGCGTTGAAAAGTCCGATCGTCCCTCCACAGTCGGAGATCCGAACGAATGACTCATCACGATGAGAGACGCCTGTCATCTACGTCGGCGTTAGCAAATTCGCCGGGCACACGCCTCAAGCCTTCGGAGAGGCTCCGTATGCCGACCAAAACCACGACATGCAACCATCGCGGTCAGATCATGGCTCGGCTGAGCTCGGAAGTGCTCGGATGCTGGCTTCGGTTCTCGGAGATGCGAGGTCCTGGTTCGCGTCCAGCACTCTTTTGGAACCAGGATGCTCAAGCGGCAGGCAAGCCAAACACAGTTGCACGGACCAGGAAGGCACGTTACATTTTCACTGCTGCCGTCAAACAGTTGGAGGTGTTGGTGTTGTGTCTCGGACGGGCTGACAGTCATGGCTGTTGATCGCATTCCGTCGGGCCATCGTGACAGATCTGAAACTGGCAATCATGGTGCTTGGAGTAGTCTTCCTGGCCACTCTATGGCAATCCATCTGAGCCGTACGCACCGTTTCTAGGACGCGAGCGGGGTTTGTGAACACATGCAGAATAGTTCACACAGCGAGTTGTCTCCATACCTTCAAAAGTTGCACCGTGTATCAAACTACCGCTCGTCGATATGTATGTGTTCACGAAACAACCTGCCTAACCGATATGGCTAAGCCTGTAGCATAGATTGCAGGAACTCCCTAGCGGGCAAATAACAATGTTGATTTTGCTGTGTGCTACACTGCATACTTCATGAATTGGTACGGCGAGCCTGATACTGTTGCCTGCACAGACCACACGGCTGCAACGTCGTAGAAGCATGTGTTCCCAGCGTATGGAAACCGCGCTGATGGCAACGCTTGGTTGGGCAGAGACTTCGTTTTGTCTCATGTCTATGTTTTGTTAGATCCGTCTAAGCACGAGTACAAAACGGGAGAAAAGCCTTGCCAACCATGCAGTTTGCCCTATGGGAGGACTAAGCAGGAGAGCAGCCTGGCGCGATACCACTTCAGTTAATCCGAACGGGCCCTTTCTCCGCCGGACTCTCGTGAGACGGCATTTGCCTTCATCATGAGTGGTAAGCGAGGTAGTGTAGCGTTTGGGTAGTGGCAACCTTTCCATGGATGACGCTCGCCCCCTTGTTCTACAGCTTGTCTGAACCACCTTCTCCGATTGCTTCACCAAGCAAAGCCATTTGCTTGCTTGTTTCAAACTCCCCTCAATATCCCGCTTGGCATTAATCCAAGAGCTACGTTTTTAACGACAAATTGTCGGCAGAAGAGTGTCGGGGAAAAGATCTGACAAAGGGATGCGGCCTGATACGGCATATATTAGTCTCGTGCCCTCCATTCCACCCCTCATCCTCAATCCGCCTCCCAGAAGCTTTTCATTTACTTGATCTTGTGAAAATCCGTCTATATTCCTTCACTATGTGACTTTTCTCTTCGGTTTACTTGGTGGCCTGTTGGCCGGTATGTCCATCGACGATCCTGCCGCAAACACCCAATGGGCAGATTATCTTCTCCTTTTGACTTCACAAATAAAAATGACCTCTCATGATCCCAATCATCTCCCTTGCTAAGATCTTATTGCGCTCATATGAAGTATGAAACCCTCCCCCATTTCTTTCTTTCTTTCTTTTTTTCCCCCTTTTTTCCCCCTTGTTTTACTTCTTTTCTTTTTCTTTTTTAATATTTTCTGTCTCTCTTCACTCACAACATCTGTCTTATCCCCCTTTTAATGGAATTTCTTTCTATTTGATTTCTCCTTTTATTACTCGCCATTCTCAAAGCTTTCTCATGTTCCTTATACTGCCTCTTTTCTCCCCAGCCCTTCACAGACATTGATGTTATCGCATCATCCTCCACCTCATCTTTAAACTCATCGAACGTTTCTTTCCCATCTTGAGCAGGAGAGATGAGTGGTACATCATGACATGCCGGGAATCTTTCTGGGATCGGGTGCATCTATGGCAATGATGAACGCTCACCCCCCGCCTGCGCAGATGTCGTGACGATGCATACAGCAACAGTTTCGTGATGACGGCTTAAGGTTGGCTCCCAACGTCTCTGGTTTTTTTATTTGGGTTTTGACTAACGACCGTTCAAAGTTTCTTCAACATCATTAGGACGGCAGAGTTAATCATGCAATTGACATGCCCAACCATCATGACGCTCGTCATTGCCCCTCCCTTCGCCACTCACCTTTCACGCTTTGCTCTTGACTTCCCTCGTCATTCTATTGAGCATTCTCATATCTGCCCGAGCAACCATTCTCGATCTGTTTGGGCTTCAAATTTGGTCAATTCCAGTATTATCTTGTCGACTGAGCTGGCATATGGCATCTTTCTAGCACTTTCCCTAATCGCCCCGTCGGATTGATTAGTGGTAAGATTCGGCCACTCTTTCATGTGCTGAAAATCAATTTCAACACGCTCTTCGCTTCACTACACGTTTACGTTGTCCCTCGGCAGAAGACCGTATTATGACGGGTTTCAGTCCATTCAATTACATTTACTATGGGTTCTCGCCTGGCTTGGGTTGGAAGAAGAGTCTAGCGCCTGCTGAGAACATGAAGTTATATACGACCATGCCCAACACTTTATCACGTCAGAGACGTTAAATTCATTCTCACTGATGAATTGTCTACTCGGCTGTCACGATGTTCTGGTTTTCCATCCCCCTTGACCAGTCAGCCCTGTCACATGAAGCAGCCTGCAAGACCACCGACAGCGCCTGTTTACGGCGCAATTTCCGTCATTCCACTTCCCTCAGAGTTTATCATCCGCGCATCGTCGCAGATCGGCCCGCCTCCTGCTAAAGATGGCCAACTCTATTATGAGAAAGCATTGAACGAGGCATGCGGTGCTGGCAAGGCCTAGACTTTGATTACAGCATCAAAGGCCTAGAGGGAAGCCTACTTGATCCTTGCGCTTCTGATCCAGAGGCCAGTTTGACATGTTCTCTCTGCTGGACCATGAGTGGCCGTTGACCACGGGTATCTGGGCCGGAACGACGCAAAGCGAGCATGTTCGATAAAATTCCCAGACAACCTCTCTGTCCCTTCTCAGCTACACCTGTAGCATATCGATTTTTCGAAACCAATTCACTATGAGCAAACACTCTGAGCTCCAAGGTGCAGTTGCAAAAACGTTTGTCGACTATCGTCGAGTTACGGACGATTCGGCGTTTCAAATTGAGCAACCTACTTGTGTATCCCACAGGAACCTTCTACCGCAACCATATCCACGAAGTTGTCTCCCCGGTGGGCCAGACTCGCCTTCATGGGCAGAGCCGACCTGATGGTCGCTGGCCCGACTCCCTCATCACACTCTACAGTGATTGGCCTGCCTGACTACAGTCTTATTTTGTCTAATAGGAGTAAAATGCAAATTTGGATGAGATCTGCATCACAGTTGCAGAGTATGATGGCGATTACGTCCGCTACATCGCCAATAAGTCACCCTCGGATGCAAGCTTGGCCAGAGCGCGGCGCAACAGTCAGCGGCACCAGCAAAGAACAGAGAGGCATTGGGCCTTACAACCCGAAGATGTTCACGCCCGGTTTCCTCACAATGCGGCAATC